GTGGTTACCCTGTGACTCTAAGATTCTAAGTGCGGCGTGAACTTCCTGGTCACTCACTTAGTATTTCACCGAAAAACATTTTCACGGAGCACATTCCAACAGGGACCTTCAAACAGAGAATTTCGGCTCAAGGGAATTTTGTGTCTCCCCAGAATCTGGGACGACAGACATCCAGAATCCCGGGCTCACTCTGAGCGAAGAACCCACCTGGGGTGCCACGACCCCTGAACACCTGGCCCCTGGTCTTGGGACTCCACCTGCAGACAAGACCGGTGTCCCCTCCGGGGGCATCACAGTAGACATCGCTTTTGAGACGTGGCTTGCACGCGGGCGGGAGGAGCTTGCAGTCCCTCCAGGTGCCCCCAGTTCTCAGGGAACCCGCAGACACGGCAGGCAAGGTCAGCTCCTGTGCTGGGACGTGCCCACCACGGAGCCTGTCTCTCTGGCCCACACCCGCCAGTTCTCAGGAGGGAACACCGAGTCCCACCTCAGGGCTCGCGGGGCTCCCTGAGGGTGAGCTCTGTAATCCAGAGAGAACCGAGCGGGGTGCAGCAGCTCCGTGGGCCTGGCTTCTCCCGCGGCTGCTTCGGCCTGCAGACCCCACCAGTTGCTGTGGCCAGGCCTGCACCCCGCTTCCGCAGCACGTGGGTGCTGTTAGGCGGGCAATGGTCTGTGAAAGGATTAATTTGCTGATCTCATTGCCTAAATGGAAGGAGATTTTGCAGCCGTCAGTAACGAGCTGGAGAGTTCCCCGGGGTGCGGCTGCAGGCCCCTCCTCCCCGCCCTTGACTGACTGCGCACAGAAAATTCATGGTGCGGCGGCCGACAGAGGCGATCGCGGGAAGCGCCGGCATCTGCGCTGAGGCACACGCTGCGCTGCGTGGGGGTGACAGGGCCACCTGGGCGGCACGGGCTCCAGGGAACTCACCTGATCCCTTTGTTCTGCGCGACGCTGTGCAGTGAGAGCCGGGACACCGCGGAGATGACCTGCGGGGACAAGAGACAGCGCCTGTGATTTCCCGGGCACCAGACTGTGGTGTCCCGAAGCCGCGACCGGCGTCCACGGGGGGCGCCGAGCACCCCCCTCAGCACATCCTGCTGGTGGGCCACCTGCCTGTGCTTGCACGCCAGGCCGCACTTTGCTGCACTGGACCCTGGCGCGGGGCAGCTCCTCACCGCCGCACTTGGGCTAACCCGCAAGGGGGCCGCTCCACCCTGCACGCTGCTCTGGGCAGGTGCTGCCCCCCAGAGCCGGGGATGTGGAAGGCCAGAGGGCCCAGTGAGGGCCCCCAGCCTCAGAGCAGCAGGGGCAAACACCTGCAGAGCAAACACCAGCGGTGCGCCCCGCCCCCCCCACATCCGGGCAACCGCCCACTCCCTGCCGGCACCTCGAAGGGCCCTGGTGGGGACACCGCGCATCTCACGATGACAGAGTTGGCCAAACAAGCCCTGACACATTCAGCAAGGAGCAGCGGGAGCTCCTCCTTCCCGCCCCCCAGCCTGGTCCTGCCCTGTGGTCAGTCGGGGCAGCCGCCGCTGATGCACACGAGGTCCCGCCTCCCACCCTTGAAGGCCCCCGACACAGTTATCCCATGCATCTTAAAAAGGACGGGTGGAGAGCAGCCCCGGTGGGAGGACAGAGATGAATATGGGGAAACTGAGGCAGGAGAGGGGGGAGGCGGCTGGCCCAGGAGAAGAGCACCACGCACGGGAGACAGAACCGGGGAGAACGCGGCACCAGGACCTGGGGCCTGCAGTGCGGCAGGAGTTCTCGGGGTGCGTGTGTGTGTGTGTGTGTGTGTGTGTTGTGCACCTGCACACCGTGTGTGCCTCCGTGTGTGCGGGAGGGATGGGCACCGAGAAAACGGACCCCGAAACCGCGTGCACGCTCCTGGCGCCTCCCCAGCGCGGGCTGCCGGGAACTGCACACGGGAAGCCACCCTGCCGCACCCCCGGCAGGCAGGGGACCCGGGCTGGGCGCTGGCACGGCCGCCCGCGGCGCGCGGTCCTCAGATGACCCCTCTCAGGCCCTCTGCTTCCATCGCGACTTCTCGGGGGGCGGGGGGGCACACAGAGGGCCTCTCTCGCCCGCTAAGCACCGCGCCCGCCGGTGGCTCCGTGTCGGCCAGGGCTCACAGAAGTTATGAGCCTGCGCAGCGACAGGCACTTCTTGTGTCCCCAGACAAGGCTCAAAGAGCTCACTATGCGGCCAGTCGGCCGCAGCTCCCAGACACAGGTGCTCCGAGGCGCCTTGCACACGAGGAGCCACTGGGCCTCTGGTATCGCTTTTGGCTCTTCTAGCTGAGAACACTTAGAGGCAATAAAAATTAAGCAATACTGCTGAGTACTACTTGGGACCAGGCTGGACGTGTAAGTCCTGAACAAGTGACCAGCATCAAGCACACCAGCCACCTCTCCCCGTGCTCCCGCAGCAGACATTGCTAATCGACCGCCACACTCCTCCCTGTGAGCCGCATGCAGGTGCTGGGTGCCTGCCAGAGTCCCGGGCTGGCACTAGCCACTGTCAGGACCTGTCCAGGAGACACAGCTGTGTGCAGACCCAGAGCCAGGGCAAAGGCCTCCTTCCTATGGGACTCAAGACAGGCAGCTGTGGCAGAGGCTGGGAGGGCTCTGGGAATGGACGGGCTCCTCCGTTGCACTGACCGGGCTCCCAGGCCCCAGCGTGCAGCATACAGCTCCCAAACAGCAGGCGTCTCTGGGGGTTGTGCAGAGCTCAGCTCTGGGATTGTGGCAGTGGCTCAGGGTGGCTGATTACATGTGATGAGGCATGCTCAGCGAGCCCGACCCAGCAGCCAGTAGCCGGCCACCTGTGCTTGGAGTGCTCATCCCTGCGTCCCCCTGACTGGGAGCTTCCGTGGCTGGTGCCGATGCAGACTGGACTGTTCAGGGGCCACCCCAGGACCTTGCTCCAGTGACACAAAGCCCAGAGCACAGGTCACATGGAGAGGCAGCCCCCGACAGCTGCACCCTGCACTCCCCGCTGCAGCAGGAGGAAGGCAGGCACTGCGCAAAGCCCCCCTCCCAGGACAGAGCTCCGGGTGTCTCCAGGGCACCCTCTTGGTGACAATTAAAGGCTGCTTCACCCAGAGTCCCCATGGATACCTCCGAGAGCATAAATGTCAGAGGATGACATTTTCTCAACTTTTATTTCTGCTTCCCAGCTGAGTCCCAGATAGCAGATGAATGAAGAAGATGCACCCTCTCCCCTCCTGCCCACTCCCCTGGACGCCCAGCTTGGTCCCTGGGGCTCAGCTGGGGGTGCAGCAGCAAGCAGAAACATGGAAACAACACCCAGGATTTGGAGACAGCACTGAGAGGGACCACTCCTAGAGCATCAGGCTCTGACCTCTGGTGGTCTAGGGCTTGTACAGGATAAGCCAGCAGGAAGTGCGCAGGCAGAACGGCCTGTCCATCGGGGATTGGTCCATACAGTCTACATCACAACAACCAGCCCCACTTCTAAGAGACAGGAACAACTGGACTTGAACAGGAGCGACCTCCTGGGCAACTAAGAGCCTGGGGTATGCTGGTAGGTGGGGCCGTTTTCTTTTACGGGGGTACCGGGGGAGGAAGCTGCGCCCCAAGGACCTACTAGAGCCCCTGCCTGCACCGGCAGCTCCCCGCAGCCAGGTGCACTGTGCCCACCAAACAGGTCTCACATACTCCCGAGCCTGGTGGACACAAGAGGAAAGAGGAGACAAGGCAGCCAGATTACGGGATGGCTATTTTCCATCAAGCTACAGATGCTCTGACCCCTGACCCCTAGACTGCAGCAGCCCATGAGCTCTGGCACCCCTGCTGGAGGAGTTGTGCAGAGCAGGGCTCCTCACATTGTCTCCAGGCCCCTCGGGCCCCAGGATCTGTGTTTATTGCCAAGTCCCATGTGGCTGGGATGACCACCCCTCCTGGAAACTGGGTCACACAACTAAGGCCACAAACGGAATGCCAGTGAGCAGTAGGGCTGGAGTACCTGTGGCCACCTCAGAAAGGGATACGAAGCTCAGGGCCTCGGAGCTAGAGTCAGACAAGCCGTGCTGAAGGCCTTTCTGGAAAGATGCCAGAGACTGGGGTCAGGGCAGAGCCGTCCCCAATGGAGGCCTCGCCAAGCCAAGCCCAGGCTTCCAGACCCCGACCACTGGGCCTGCTGTCTCCCCGGCCAAGCAATGGACTGACCAGGCTCGTCCCATAAGCCCTGAGTCAGGGGACTCCTCGCACCAGGCTCTGAGAGCAGGGCCTACTTCCCATATAGTGGGCATGTATGGGAGCCAGGTGGGCAGCCTGACCCAGCACCTCTTCCACCCTGGAAGTGACAGTGCTGTCCTCTTCCTGGGGCCCATCGGCCTGCGTCCCCGTCACAGGCTGAGCACTTGCCCGGGATGGGAGCAGGCCTCTGGAGGAAGGCTTGCTGCCTGACGTAACAGCAGGCAGCAGGGCCACAGCACAGCCTCCCTGCTGAGCACCTCCAGGGTGACGCTGCAGGGCCGCAGGGCTGCACAGGCCTGGACACCAGCGACAAATCCATGCCGAGCTGCGAAGTCTGACCTCATCTCCCCAGCCTCCCGAGACAGCCCAAGCGATCCCTAGGGCCGCGTACTCCCAGCGGTGGTGACGCCAGTGGGCCGGCCAGCAAGGGACTGTGGTGAGTGCTTGGCTCCACGGGGCCCTACAGGTGGCCCCACAGGTGGTGGAGGCTCTACCCGCACAAGTGCAAGCCAAGCCAGCCCCGAAGGTGCTCCCTGCAGTTCTCCAAATGTTTGACTGCCCGGCACAGCTTGATGCCCAGTGCAGGACACGAAGGAAGTAAGACAAGTAGGCCCATGAGGGAATCAGCCCCAGGTACGAGGCACGCTCCGAAGGGAGCTGCCTGCTACAAAACACACTCAGAAGAAAGCTGGTTGTAAAGCACGTCCTGCAGAGAGAATGCTTAAGGTCTGTATCCTGCTGGTGCCACCCGCACCCCACCCCCGAGGGCCAGCCCGTCATGATTCGCCTGCCAGTACAGCATGCCAGCCAGGCCCAAGGAACCTGGCTCGCAGCCTTGCGGTAGAAACACAGGACCAGTCATGCCCACCGTGCCTCGGCCACCAGAGCCCCCAGAATACACCACAGCCCGCACCTCACTCCCAGTGAGGTGACCAGGAAGCCAACGGGGACCCTCAAGCTTGAGCAATTGAGAGCTGCTCTCCTCCTCAGGAGACTGGCTCACTCGGGATGCAGCAGTCTATGAGCTGTGCCTTCAGCTTTGTGTTCCAAGTACCTTGGATAAGGGAGTTACTTAGCAAAAGTGGGCATGGGTGGGGAGGTGGACAGAGGGTATGAGTGAGTGGGCAGACCGGCGGATGGACGGATGGACGGATGGATGGACGGACGGACGAACAGATGGATGGGTGGATTAGTGAGTAGATAAATGAATGAGTGGATAGGCGCATGGCTGGGTGGTTGCTGAATGGATGGTAGATTGGTGGGGGATGGATGGATGGATGGATGGATGGATGGATGGATGGATGGATGGATGGATAGATGGAGGGTGGGTGGGTGGGTGGGTGGCTGGGTGAGTAGATGGATGGATGGATGGATGGATGGACTGATGGGTGGATGGATGGATAGATGGGTGGGTGGATTGATGGGTGGATGGGTGGATGGGTGGATGGATAAGTCTGTGGGTAAATGAATGGATGGAAGAGATCAGCGCAAGAGCTTCCAAGGAGAACCCACCTCCGCTCAGTTATCAGAGCTACCATTTGTTGACATTTACTGTATGCTAAGCACCAGGATTAGTGTGACGTAAACACATCCTGTATATGACCTCCACTTCTCAAAACAAGACAGAGGACTCGAGCCACTGAAGATCTCCCTGCTGGCCACTCCGCAGTGAGTGGCTGACTGAGGGCCAGAACCGCAGGCCCCAGCCCGGGCTTCTGCCTGCCACACAGCACCACACAGGAGCTTGCTCCTGGCGTCCTCCT